CAACCACCAACCTCCTGTTAGCCCTCCTGAGGGTCCTCACCTTCACTGTGGGCCTACAGGTGAGCTTTGATGCCCTGCCCTGCTTCATGCTTGTCCTCCAGAGCCACCTCAGCTACCTTCTTGGTTTGGAGGCTGACTGTCTGAATGACCCCAGTTACCTGCCTGGTCCAGGGGTTGCCATCCAGGACAATCCCCTCCAAAGCCATCCTTCTGTATGACCTTGGTTTCTTCCCCATCTCTGAGTCTATCCTCTAGAATGGCCTTGGCTTCCTGCCTGGCTCTGGATCCATCTGACCTAGTCTCTGCTTTCTGCTCTGCTCTGAGACTATCCCCTGAATGGCTCCAGTTTCCAGTGCCCCATGGGCACCCTCCCAAATGGTCTCACCTGCCTCCCTGTTCCCTGGTGCGGTGCCCTCCTCTGGGCCCCCTTCTCCCGCCCTGGTAGGTCTCTGCCCTGCCTGCTTGTTTTTGGAATGTCAGGGCAGTTCCTTTGGGGGAGGGGGAGGTTCTGTCATGGTCCGCTCCTGCCTTCATGTCAGACTCTTATTTTGAAAGGAAGTTCCTGGTTACCACCACCTCACCCACTCCAGCTTTGCTACTGCCAATCAGTGGCTGATATCGTTCCCTCTCCTCCACTTGCCAGATAGTGATCAATATTGTGCCCTGTGCTGAGCTTTCCTGTCTGCACTGGACCTGCACTCTGCCTGTCTAATCTTTGTCACGAAGCTGTGTCTGGTTTCACCCATGCCACGCTGGCTGTATGAAGTGCCATCCTGCCATCTCCTGTTACCTGTTCTCTGGACCTGATTCCTGCCTACCTGCAAACTGATCTACAAACTGCCGACCTCTGACTCCTCGTCCAGCTAGCACTTTTTGCTTGCAGTGTTTTCTAGCCATTTCATTGCTCCTGTCTTCTGCTACCAGTTACCTGACCCGTTTTGTCAATTGGACATGCCATTGTATTTTTTGTTCATGTTTTTAGTGCATTGTGCATACTTTTCAGTTGGAAGAAGAGATTTCCTGCCCGTTTCCAGCTGTCTCGATTTAGTTCTTTTACATTGTGTTCTCAGCCCTGTGGATGATTATCTATCGTGTCTGACCTGTGTACAGTTTTCCTATGGAGAATATCCTGTGCACTCTTGGCTTACTGTCATATCTGTGTCCATCAATCCTGTTTTGTCCAAGCTTAGAAGCTAAGCAGAGCTGAATCTGGTCACAATCTAGATGGGGGATTGTCTGAGGAGACCTGTGACCCATTGATCTGAGTATATCCTCTCCTGACAATCCAGAGACAGCCCACTGCTATCACACCACAACAGCTGTTTCCAGCTGTGGTGCAACTCTGCCCCCCACTGGTAGTCTTGTAATAAAAATTTTAGTTAGTTGTGCATTTGAGAAGGAACCCTAACAGTTTTTGGGATTTAGTTACTCGTTAGGGTATAAATACACTTAGTAACCAGAAACCCAAATGAACAAAATGAATATTTATGGATTTTGGTACAATATGTGAAACACAGCTGTCCACCATCATCACTGGGCTAACAGTTTCCCTGTGCTTCCTGTGTTTATGTTAAGCTAGGCTAACCATGTCCTACCCATATGTAACACGAGCCTGATATCCTCTGAACATCTCATTCTCGTGAAATAGTAAACAAGCATTTCCCAAATGGTTGTATTTTATCATTAAGATATGCTAATGGATTACTGACTAATATTCATATTTGCCTCCACATTAAGTTGCAGCATACATTTCCCTCCAGTGTGTAGACCAGACCAAACCTCTGACATGAGGGCTGTGGTTTAACCTCATAAAAAAAAAAAAAAAAACGCTGCAACTATGCTGATTTTTTTCAACAAAGCTTCAGCATAGTACAGGAAGTTCATTTGTAACACAAAGCAAATCTGTAAATGATAATACAGCAGAGAAGATGAGTGACCTAAAAGACCCAAATATTACCTTCACCTATTATGTTTCCTGTTGAAGTTTGGAAAGGCACTGAGACACTTTGGAGAAGACTCATCCAAACTGCAGCCAGATGAGTTCTTTGGGATCTTTGACACTTTCCTCGTGGCCTTCTCAGAGGCTAAACGGGACAACGAGAATATGGCCAGACGCAAGGAGGAGGAGGAGAGACGGGCAGCCAAGGAGGCACAGGTTAGCAGGTTATCAGATGAGAGAGATGTACTGGAGGCAGGTGTGTGAAAACCTTTTCATTTGAAATGCTAGGAGAGGTCTATAAATTGTTCTTTATTTCTTGTGAGCATTCATTAGAAAATACTGAAAGTGGTGCAGACTTTAACACTAATTTTGGAGTGATTATGTCATTGGCATTACCTATCCACTTTCATAAACTGATACAAAATCTGATCACTTCATTCATGGATATTATGTATAGAAAAAGATGTAAATGAAGCCTGTCCTTCTGTCATCTATGTCATAGTCTGTGTTTCTTCTTGTTCAGCTAAAGAGAGAGAGGGAGGCAAAAAAATCCAAACCAAATGAAGAAGAAGGTGGAGAGTTTGATGACTTGGTGTCTGCTCTGCGCTCTGGAGAGGTGTTTGATCGAGATCTATCCAAAATGAACCGCAAAAAACAGCGGAGACACAACTTGTTTGACAACAGCCGGGAGAGACCAGTAACAAAGCTAAAGCAGTAACAGGGCACTGTTGACAGCAGCACCTCCTTGAAACATATCATGTCTCGGTAACACTGTTCATGGTGTTATTGTTTTTACTTAAATCCATACAGATACAAATAGTAGGCCATATGTTTATACAGTGTATATAAAACAACTAGACAGTGGCAAAGCCAGACAATTTTCATAGGGGTGGCCAGGCTGGGGCCAGTACTCATTTTAGGGTGGCACATTAATTTTGCAACAAAACGTCTTTCTAATTATACAGCCATGAATGACTTGGCTTTTATCCCACATCAGCAGAGTTCCGCTATGAAATGTGTCTTACGTCACCTCAAACTTGGGCTGCAGGTGAGAATGCAGAGTGAGGAAGGGAGAGGCAGTGCAACTAATTGAGTGTGCTGTTAAAAAGTGTCGCCAGAGGAACTGCAGTGGTTCCACATGAAGGAAAATGAGCAACCCAAAATATTGACCCTGCACAACCAGGAGAATATGACCATTCAGGGAAATCCTTAAACTAGTTTGTAAGACTTTACATAGTTGGAGAAAAGTAAAATTTGTTATGCAGACTATGTAGAACAAAATTCAGTTAACAAGACAGAGATCAGAGGTTTTCTGTGTGAATTCAACTTGCACTGTTGCAGTTTTAATGTAAAAAAAAAAGTAATTGTAGTTTGTCTTTGTGTGTTACTGTATAACTTTGGCTGTGACTGGCCTCATCTTTCATGTATTACATACAGTCAAGTCAGAGATAATCTTCTGTTAACCTGTGAAACTGAGACTTGCTGAACGTTTTAACCCTGTATCATTGTTTCACAACACTCACCCAAATTCTTAAGATACTTTCTGAATCCCCATAGACTCTTCAAATGATGTGGAATCAAAAATAATCTGGTCCAGTCCAGAAAAACATATATTTATCAATTTAATCTCAGCTACTGTATGTCTATTCATCTCATATAAACAAAGATTGTGACAGGAAATGACATTCACTTTGTGTGAAAGTGGCTCAAGTTTCACAAAAAAGCTGTGAGAAAGATATCATTTCCTATCACCATCTTGGAAAGTGACAAAAAAAAACTCCAGACTGGAACAGATTATTTTTTATTTTGCATCATTAGAAGAGTCCATGACAATTCAGGAAATGCATTGTGAAACAGTGTCAACAAAGTATTGAATGTTTTGCACATTATAACATAATATTTAAGGGACCATGAATAATACTGGTTTGTAAAATTTTATCAGTTGGATGTAAGTGAAATGTGTTTTGTTTTTGGGGTACAGTATGTTTAGAATGTCTCAAAGGTTCTTCAGAAACATTATAAACTTTTAACGTGTTATGACTTTGGCACAGACAATAGCAGACCCTGGAGATTTCTGAAACTGCAGACACATTCTTTAACTATACAAACCATCATGTATGTATCTATACAGTATAGACTGACATGAGGCAGAGCACATTTCTTTTTTGTGGTACTATAAAAAGAAGAAGGCTTTTCCCAAGCTCAGCTTTTATTTTTCTGTTCTTTTAATGGGAGATTAGTGCAAAAGAGAAGCAAACACAAACATGTCCCTATAGTACATTCTATTGCATATATATTTTCTCAATTTTGCACACCTCTGGAGACACATTCCCTTAGAATCACAGCTCAGGGAGAAAACAAAACTGCTTTATTCTTTTAACAACAGTCTGCAGATGCCTACTTATTGTACGGGGTGGATTGCATTCTTTATAAACTAATTAAAACTGTGCTTCTTTAACCAAGGATCAGTATTACTAGCTCATGTAGGTATACAGTACTATGCAAAGGTCTTAGGCCACTATTAGTTTTGCTGTTTTAGAATGGTTGTACTGATTCATATGTATTATTTTAATTTTAATATTAACGATAATATTTTCAGATTATTTTAATTTATTTTTATTTTTCATTCTCTTAAGATATAAGCAGAAAAACTGGTGGCCTAAGACTTTTGCACAGTACTGTATATAGTATTTTGCTGTATGTGTAATATTTGTAAAATAAGCTCCACAGGTGAATTAAATTCCATATCACAGGGCTTGTTCTGCTGCTGCTGTAGCTTGTCCATGTTTCCACTGATGGGTTTGAGTCGGATGAGTACCACGTTCTGGGTTGTTTTGTTTTGCTTTGTGATCACCTGTGTCAGTTCTGAAAATTCTTTAAATCAATGCATTTCAGTGTCAGACATACAGATGGTGTTCTATTAAGAAGTCTGTAACTAGTTGAATGTGGTCGTTGAAACCGAAAGGATTCTTTGCCTACAACTGACCCTTAAATGATGAGTGGTGACTTTGTTTTTGTTATTTGCCACAAATCTCATAGCGTCTAAAACCAAGAATTTGCGGAACTCACCAGAAGACAGAATGAAGAAACATGTTGTGTAGTGGTGTGGCTCACTGGTGGGGTTTTAAAAGTTTTGGACAATAATGGAGGTCTATGGTACAGACCAATAAGTTAAACCAGGTTCTGGATTCACAGACATTAAAGTGAGTACATTAACTTGTACTGTATGGGGTGTTCCCAAAATAACCAAACCATAGAAAATCCTTATTCTTTTCCCATTTACATAACAACATGACACTTCTAAGACTTCAAATGATCATGATGCTTTCCTCTGACAAGTGAATGGTTGGAAATCAGCACAAATTTGTCCAAATGTTATGTTCTGTGACGCAAAGGAGTTTATTGGGTGTGTGATATTTGGACTTTCTGATTTACTTATTTATTTAAGCATATATTTCTTTTGTCTGTTCAAAAGGTTCTGTTTTTGACAAGAGTGAACGCCACCAATGTTAAGCTCAATACATTTTCTCACTGAACTTTCTGAAAATATGTAACCAGATTTTAAAAAAATGTATTGGAACATCAACAGTTTTTGAATAAATCTCTAGCTTTGTTATCTTTTTCACTGAAGCTCACTAAATGTAAATTTTAAGAATTTGAGAAGATTAATTAAATGTGCCGAACTGCAGTAGCAGACCACTAATTTTCACAAAGTAGCAATACTGTAAAATACAATAGCAATTGTATGTGCTATATATTTGGTGATTAAAGCTGATTCTGATTCTGAGATTAGAAAGATTTTAAATACCTAAATGGAAGCAAATTAAACACAGATGAGGTGAAATACAGTATAGATAATTTGGAGGGCTGTGCCTGACATTTCAGTGATGGGTTCAACTACATTAACACAGGTAGGCTATTCAATGCATAAGAGTGCTGATGATTATTCAAGGCACATATATTTCTGAGCATTGAAAAATCAGTGAAACAGCTGCACTTGTGATGCAAGATTTAAATGGTGGATTATATAAATTTTACGAATATATAATAGTGGACTGCCATATACATTTGTTGGAATAAAAAGACAGGCACTTCTGTTGAAACAATGTTCTTATATGGAGTTTTTTTTTCTGAGACATGGTTATAGCCTAGTTCGCCAACAAGTCTGAGCTTCTCCCGTCAGTTAACCACTAGCACATGCTATTACATTTGAGGCATAGCAGCTTGCAGTAGAGAATATTAAAATATATACTTATAATTTATGATTCCTCTTTGAAACCACAGGGGGACGTATTGAGGAAACTACTGCTTGGCACACCAAAATAAGGAGAAAAAGACATAAATATATAAATGTGTATA